CAGCGTTTGGGGAAAAATTAGAGTAGACTATAAATTCTTCCCTAATATCCCTTCGGCTTTCCTTTACTCACTCTGTTAGCTTCTTGGTGCAAGAGACGAAAGCAATAAATTACGTCCTCTTTCTTAACCGTTTTATTCTGTCATTAACCTACACTAAATTGTACAAAGGACTACATAATATATACATACATACATAACATATACATATATACAATATATATACATACATACATACATACATACATACATAAATACATATATACATACATACGCGATGTTAAATTAAAAGCAAAACAACATTAGAAAAGATACGAATATTTCGTATTTTAAGGGTGCCTACAAACGATTTGCAAATTTTTGCTTTCAAGTTAGACTGCTACATTTAACACCTTGTATATTGTTAGCCTGCCTTTGAAGTAAACGCAAGATTTTGAATTGCACCTTTGAGAAGATTAAAATAAAATAAAAAAATTAAAATGAATAATCAGCGAATCAAAAAGTGTAGTTGAGTTACAATTTCAAGAATGCGTAATACTGAAGGTTATTAATTACTCTTTCACCAAAGGATTGGAAGGATTACTTCCTTTTTTAGATCATTGTTACCTATGCTATATATCTTTGAGATAAACAACCGCCACTTTTTTGGACCATTGTTACCCACGTTATAACTTTGAGATAAACAACTGCTACTGAAAATATTCGGCTTTCATGTCTAGTAGACATTATGCCTCTGTTAAATTTCAAGATAAAATACGAGATAAAATCCAATTTAGACATCCCTCAAGATGTACAAAAGGGTGCCTAAAGGAGATGTGGGATTAAAAGGGAGATATTACGGAGCTTGACAAAAAACCAGGCAAGGCTACATGGCAATCACAAACTGGTGAAAATCAAGGTCACAAAGGAGAGGTTGCCGAATTAACACGTAGAAATCTCGATCACAATGGGGCTTAGTAATGTCAATGGCCAGTGGCGGCTCGTGACGAAATGACTTTCAATTGCGTCCATAAAACATTTGGGTCGAATGCGGTAAGCAGGCTTGATCCGGATTGACATAAGGTATCCATATCAGGGTCACGTAAGTCTTAAGGGGCATGCCGTAAAAGGGTTCAGATAGGATATCACCTTAGGGCTAGATTAGACTAAGTAGCATATATCATTAATAGGGTAAGAACATCAGTCTTAATAGGACGTGCTACAAAAGAGTTCAGATAAAGTATTCACGATAGGACTACATCAGGCTATAACATAATATTAAAGGGTTGAATATATAATATACCATAATAGGAGATGCCTTAATTCTATATAATACTAGATTCGGTCCACATCAGGGTCACATAAGTCTTAATAAGGCATGTTGTAAAAGGGTTCAAACACGGTGCCACCTTAGGGCCACATCAGGCTAAGTAGAAGATATCATTAAAGGGTTTAGGTAGGGTCTTCATCAGTCTTAATAGGGCGTGCTGTAGAAGATTTCAGATAGGGTATTCACATTAGGGTTAGAGAAGGTTAAGTAGGTCATACCATTAAAGGGTTGAATATATAATATACTATAATAGGAGATTACCCAATAAATCTGGATTCGGTCCACAACAGGGCCGCATAAGTCTTAGTAGGGCATGCCGTAAAAGAGTTCAGATAGGGTGCTATTTTAGGGCCAGATGAGGTGACGGAGAATATTTTATTAAAGGGGTTAAAATAGGGACCACATCAGTCTTAATAGGGGTTACTGCAGAAGAATTCAGATAGGGTATCCTCATTAGGACCAGGTTAGGCTAAGTAGGGCATACCATACCACAAAGAACCAGTTTCCGAAAGGATCTAGCGAAGTTCTTTCTAGTCGGGGTTTTGCTGCCATTAACAGTTAAACTAAAGCGGTTTAGAATCCGTATATTTATCTGCTGTTGGAAATTTATCGTAGAGACTATTCGTTTTGCTTTAAGCAACATTACAAATCGGTTTACATTTTTCTGCTGGCTGGTGCTTTTCCCAGTTTCGCCCCATAAAGCAGAAAGTGCGGTAAATTATAGATACAAATATGTTGACATTTAGAAATACGTTATATACTTTACAATAGGAATAGTAATATAATAATATAATAACGAAAATCGAGTTAAATGAAAATTAATTCAACATTAATAAAACCTATGGAATTTAAGACGATGCATGAAAATATGTACTTAATAGGTTTTCTATAAGGACAAAACACTTCTAATATACGTGATTTAAAGGTAACTGTTGTACAATAAAATTTACGACTTACAAATAACTGCAAGCGAAAATTATGACAGTTTTACTGCTTTCTATTATTAGTTTTCCTTCAATACGTAGCTGTACCTTTACTATAGGAGAATTTTGCAATTCCTATCTTTGAGTATGGTTTATGTATTGTAAAAGATATTCTTAAGTGCATATTCAATATAGGGGCTAATTAATTTTCATGCTAATCGGAGCTGCACCCACAACAGGGATGAAAGTAAACTAATTACTAAAGCTTCTTCTTAGAAAAAAATAGGCAGGAAAAACAAGAATTGCTTCAATTTCGAATCACCTTCTCAACTTAATTAGGCGAAAGTAATTAAGTATTTCTTTCATTACACTGTTCCTTCCTGAAGATGATCAATTATTGTCATTATACAAAATGAAACTGTCAGTCAATATTCAATGTATACACTCCATTAATGATTAATGACAAAAAAATATTAATATTGCACTTCTGCTTTGACACGATTAAAGGGGTAGTATCATCATCATAAGGGCTTAAAACTTAAAACTGGTTGAACGTACACCTCCACTCTTTCCTATCTCGAGCTTATCTTCGTAATTCTCTAGGTCTACCTCTACTGCTCTTAACTCCTTATTTGTTCTTCTAATATGTCTCTAATTAACCCTTCATGCCTGGCAAGATTCCCTACCAACTTATTTCTTATAGACTTTCATAGTGCCCTCTGTCCTCCTAATACTCTTTTTAATACTTCTTCATTTCTAACCTTTTCCACCACGGAAACCTTTTCATTTCCGCTGCGCCCAATTAGCCACTTCTTCTAATTTTTCGTCTCCTATCTTTATATGCACTCATGATGGTTAAATCAAATTTGTAAATAATGAATCGGGTATTATGTTATTCTTCATCTATATCTAATTGTAGGAACTATTCATTTTTATAAGGCGGAAGGAAGGTATAGGCCTTATAAAAGCCCTTTTTGTGTACGCCTCTTCAATGTTAATATACAAATAATTTCCTTCAATTATTCACAACTAGTTTGTGTAAGCGACTTGGATAATTTATTATTATGATTAATGCGATTTGTGAAGGTAAAACACTACAGCAATCTTATCATTCAAGCCTACGTTTTAATCTACTAGGATTAATGGCTGACAAGGGGTTAAAACAAAAAAATTATTTTAACTTGATGGTAGGTAGTTAAATTAAAATTAGGTCGCAGTAATTACGTTAAAATATGCTCATATTTGTTTGACCACGACCAAAATCATCATCGTTAATAAATAATAAACAGTTTTTCTTCTGTACTGAAAGACATGTCTTATAGAATATCATGTACAAAAAGCACAATTATTTCTTTAATCTATAGCGAATGTAAAAAGATTTTGAAACTTTACAGCATTACTGAATAAGTTTAAAAATATTTCATATGCACACATGCAGATTTATAATCGTACTATATACATAGAGGCGACTTTTGTTGTATGTATCAAAACTACAAACTACAAAGTTGGTCAGTCGGTAGATACATAGAACTATTTCAAAACGATTTGCACACTTTGTAACATATAAATATGACTGCTTTTAAAGAAGTTTCACATCGTGTATTTTTCTATGTTATTTTTCAGTTGCAATATGTCGTTTTTAGAAAAGTTAAAATACGTATAAATAAACTACTGCATATAGAAATAGGTTGTTTATATACAAACTCATGTTTCTGACAGTTATTATTTCGTGACTGCCAATACGAACTTTTTCGTCGAAAGTTTGTGGAGCACTGCAGAAAAATTTACTTTAGAAATACGTACATATAGAGCTACTTTATCGGAAATCGATATACTTCATATAGTTTCTGTAGCGATGTGACCTTCAGTTTAACCGGCGCAAAGTAGAAAAGAGCAGCACTAGGCCAGAAAAGGAAGGAGACAACTCTCGGCCAAACTCTCAACCGTTGAGGAGCGTGTAATCCGTACAGTACTGCACGGAAAAATTGACCATTTTATCCACTACAATTGCATTGCTCAAATGTGCTGTTATTGGTACCATTTACCACTGAAAATATCAACGAGATGTTTATTTATATTTGAAGACATATTAAAGGCTTTAACGCTTGTTTTCGACTCGCACTACTATTCATGATTGAACAAAACTTTTGGCAGGTACTGTATGAAAAAGCATGTTTAATGAACAAGAGTCGAGAGTATAATGAGCTTTTTTCTCCCTACCTACGATTTTGCCAGCGCACGTTCAAGACATTGGAAGGGGCACATCGCGAGAGAAAGTAAATGAAGTATATCATAGGTTTGAAATTAGTCCTTTAATTCGGTTTAAGTATTTTGACCAGTCGACCTGTACCCCTTTTTAATGAATGTAGAATTCCGAGATCATTAATTTGATACATGGGTGTATATATCTGCGACCTACGTAAACAGTATGTACTTCCGAATTGCTATTAAGTATACATGTATTATGTAGACGACTGACTATTATTAACTTTAGGTTATTTTAAACTCTGTATTTCCTAGCTACCGTTGTAATTAAATTCGCAAATTTTCCAATAAACTACCGTCTTAATTGAATGAAGGGTTTTCAACTTTGACAGTACTGCCTGACACTTCTTTAAAGGATATAATTTTAATTAAGTGCTTAACGTTTCGTTCCTTGCTGCATGGAGCAAAAGTGTATTAATCTACAAAATAATTATCTGATACGTATACCCAACCCAGTTAAAAGATAAAGTAATAATTATTACAATCTTCACCTTTTTCCTTTTCAGGTCAGTGAAATTTATGTGATGCATCTGGCGCATATAGAAGAAGTCAATAGAGCTTTCTGTGTCAACTGTTCTTCTCCTAATGAATGAAAATCAAGAAGCCCAATGTTGAGCACCCAAACAAATGGCAAAATACCTTCAGTATGTGAAAAATATTTTGCCAATATGACTTGCTCAGGTAGGCAATAGCTTATTATACCTAGATAATACGATATCACCAATAGATGGGCTTACCAAAAATTTTAATTCATTACAAATTTTAAAATAAAAGTGGGTTAGCATTTTAAACCGATAATAAATCATCATTATTAATAGAGGAGGGGGTTGTTTACACCACAAGTGATAATTTAATCATATTACTAGCAGTTTTTATTGACTGACATCATTCAAAGTCCAAAGCTCATCTAATGCAAATTGATTTAACCCGATATGGGTGTACGCATACAGATGTGACCATGGCACTTACGACCATCTAATTTTCATGTTCAAATGTTATTAACACAACTACTACCCCAAACGAATAAGGTAATTAAATAGTGGAATATAATATGCTCTTTTTAAAATGTAAGTAAATAAGGTTATTTTCAAGTAGAGTAAAATTTAGTTTTTTCAACAAATTAAATTTTCTTGTCTGCATTTTTATTCAAATTATCAANGTTTAATGAACAAGAGTCGAGAGTATAATGAGCTTTTTTCTCCCTACCTACGATTTTGCCAGCGCACGTTCAAGACATTGGAAGGGGCACATCGCGAGAGAAAGTAAATGAAGTATATCATAGGTTTGAAATTAGTCCTTTAATTCGGTTTAAGTATTTTGACCAGTCGACCTGTACCCCTTTTTAATGAATGTAGAATTCCGAGATCATTAATTTGATACATGGGTGTATATATCTGCGACCTACGTAAACAGTATGTACTTCCGAATTGCTATTAAGTATACATGTATTATGTAGACGACTGACTATTATTAACTTTAGGTTATTTTAAACTCTGTATTTCCTAGCTACCGTTGTAATTAAATTCGCAAATTTTCCAATAAACTACCGTCTTAATTGAATGAAGGGTTTTCAACTTTGACAGTACTGCCTGACACTTCTTTAAAGGATATAATTTTAATTAAGTGCTTAACGTTTCGTTCCTTGCTGCATGGAGCAAAAGTGTATTAATCTACAAAATAATTATCTGATACGTATACCCAACCCAGTTAAAAGATAAAGTAATAATTATTACAATCTTCACCTTTTTCCTTTTCAGGTCAGTGAAATTTATGTGATGCATCTGGCGCATATAGAAGAAGTCAATAGAGCTTTCTGTGTCAACTGTTCTTCTCCTAATGAATGAAAATCAAGAAGCCCAATGTTGAGCACCCAAACAAATGGCAAAATACCTTCAGTATGTGAAAAATATTTTGCCAATATGACTTGCTCAGGTAGGCAATAGCTTATTATACCTAGATAATACGATATCACCAATAGATGGGCTTACCAAAAATTTTAATTCATTACAAATTTTAAAATAAAAGTGGGTTAGCATTTTAAACCGATAATAAATCATCATTATTAATAGAGGAGGGGGTTGTTTACACCACAAGTGATAATTTAATCATATTACTAGCAGTTTTTATTGACTGACATCATTCAAAGTCCAAAGCTCATCTAATGCAAATTGATTTAACCCGATATGGGTGTACGCATACAGATGTGACCATGGCACTTACGACCATCTAATTTTCATGTTCAAATGTTATTAACACAACTACTACCCCAAACGAATAAGGTAATTAAATAGTGGAATATAATATGCTCTTTTTAAAATGTAAGTAAATAAGGTTATTTTCAAGTAGAGTAAAATTTAGTTTTTTCAACAAATTAAATTTTCTTGTCTGCATTTTTATTCAAATTATCAACATTTAATTTTGATATGTCATAATATTCGTAACTAACTACCCTGTTAAATTTGGAGATTTTTTACTATGGATTTCATACCTAATTAGATATTCAAGTAAGTCCAAATCGTTTTTCGATTGTAATTATCAACAGTTGATGAAAAAACTTGCTCAATCATAATTTAATTTAAAATCAACTTTTATTTGAAAATTAAATACCTCCGCCAATTGCATAAAATATGCTTAAAATATAGGTATTACCATTACTCTATTACCTTCTGCAGACCATAGAAAATAGTACAATTTACTACAAATGTCTTATCTACTGAGAAGACAGGTTACTATGAGGTTAGGAAAATGATTTATGGACTTACCAAAGCTGATATTACTTTGTACTCCTTCTGACGAAAATTGTCTTTGGAAAACACCATTAAAAGTTCTAAATCACGAGCGCGGAAAACCAATCAATGTATTCGAACACGACTTACGCATTAAAAGTATTAATTAATTAATTAGATAAACAACCGAAGGTTACCGAATTCTCTTTAACCGTGAGGACGCCAGACGAATCGAAAGCGGAGATAACCGAATGCGATTTCCGAAAGAATGTACTTAATCCTTGCTTGCGCCATAGACAGGACTATAACGATGCGGGTAATCGGCGCGAAAATCAAATGAATCCGCCCTTATCTTCATCATCAGTGCTCTGTAAAAAAGAGAGAAAAACAATCAATAATATTGCGTCCTTTGTTGTTACGAGTGTTACTATTTTTATTGTTTGTAATTGTAGGTATTGGCAAACATTAAAAATTTGTAAAAGAATCTTACAACCTGTGTAATAATTCCATTTTTTTATTCCATAATTTAACTCATTTGTTTTTTGTGTTCTGAACGACATTATTTTAATGCATTTTCGTGGTTGTAATATAGATAAAAATCATAGAATTTATAACAGATACGTATTTATTCCTTGTGTTGTTACTGAACTGATCAAGCCGAAACCGGCTGGCGCTTGCTTGTTTCACATTCAAGTCATATCGCACAATCATATTTATTACTTGATACCATCTGAAAGAGTATGTATTAAACAACATCTGGTCGGGTTGCACAAGGACGATATTCCCTTTTTCCAGTAGGCATTTGCTAGCGTTTTCGTATTCTAGCATAATAAATGAAATGAATGTAATTAAAAAAGCTTGTTTGTAACAATGTATCATTAATTTTAAAAGGATTTATACAATAATAAGTAAAATTAAGAAAAAGTACGGTTGCCCAGCTGGACAAGAATTTTAATAAAGTTTAAATACCCTTTTTTGATGCCTACCTAAAATGTATGTTGAATTTTTATTATTATTTTTTCCAGTCTAATGCTATGTAAATAGTAAATTCCCCATTAGAAGGATTGATGATATCATTTTGAGAAATAATGGCAGATAAAAATTCATAAATAGTTTGCTTAAAAATGAAAATCTATCGATTCAAATAGAGGAAATTATTTAAGTTTTAAATGGAAACTGTGAAATGTGACATTGATATGATAGGCATCGGAGAATCCACTAGATTATCTCAACCCGAAAAAAAATCGTTGGTATTTTCCAAGGATTTGTGTACAAACTTAAGGACCTTCATGGACCAATGGCTTGATCAGAAGAAATCGAAATTCAATTTCTCGAGTTCCAGACCCTTTCAGTATTTACAATTCACGATCAGTCTCGGTAAACCGCATCGGGTATTTATTTTATTTAGAAATTGGCAATTTTCAAATCAAATTATCTGTGTTGTAAGCGTTAGGTTACATTGAAGCAAGAATTATCAGTTGTAATAAATAAAAATCGACAGAAGCAGTCTGTCTCTGTCATTCTTAAAAGTACCTATAGGGATATTAAGCCTTTAATCATAAGTGTCATTAAGATAGAAAATCTAAAGGCGTCTTCCGTATCTTTACTTACTTAAGCTTGGGCTTCCCCAAAAAATGTCACCTAATTTTTTCTTCGCGAGTGCTTCTGTTTACTTCGATAATGATATCTTTCACTGCCATTAATTCCCCCTTAATTTACCCAGTTTCGCTTATCGTGGCTAATTGTGTTTGCTACTAGATGACAATTATTATTATCAACTGCGAGCTTCATTAAGTAAGATAACGCAAGAAGTAGTAGATAAACATTAATTTAAGAAAAAAAGAAGGAAAATGCGAACTCATCTATTTTTTCATGCTTTAGAAATAATTATCTTGGTTCCGTGGGTTTCCTCTCCGCAAAAAAAGTTCAGAAGGTGTCACTTTATAAATGTTTGTTCTGTTTAATGGTTTTTCTGGAGGTAGAAGAAGCTGACCCAGGCTAAAATCTAACTCTAATAACGATATATTCAAAAGAATGTCTCAAACAAGGAAATAAAGCGTAGACAACAAAAACATAATCATTATTTTTTTATATATTTACCGTTTTCTTGTTATCAAGAAGTCTAGATATAAAAACATTTCAATAATAATAAATAGAGGTTCTATCAATTCCCATAACTCGCTACATTGTGATTTTGCCAGCTGTTGGTTGGGCTTCGTTTGAACCAGAAAATAACGAAATAGGGTGCTTTGCAGTGACAAGTTATGAAAGTTTACAATCGAAGGCTTGAAACAGAAACGGAAACAACACAGTAAATAAGCTCGATTTTGATTCCATAAAGAAAAAAAAGATATGCGGTCCATTGGAAATCGCAATTTTGAAATGAAAAGGTTTCAAGCACATTTATGTGTTTCAGGTCAAACACAGTATAATACAAAATTGAAGCAAAATTTAAATTTCTAAATCGTTAAAAGGAATTCCATATTTATAATTACTTGATACTGAACAGAGTATACAGGATGTTTCGTTTGTTTAGTCACCGTTGGAATTTCTAAGTTCTCATTTATTAATATTTGATATTACATAGGTATGTAATTCAGCACTCCTGTATGCACCACACAGTTGAGAATTCATATGAATAGTTTGAAACCCAGGGTGCAAAGTTGAAATCAGACAGACGCATCCACGAAAATGCTTTTCAATGTGTAATAAGACGCCTGTCTGAAAACTGGATAGCTAAAAGCTCATAAAAATTTAATAAAAGCCTTACAACTTCGACAGAAGAGTCTCAATATCGTATCTATGCTGAACGTGAATTATTCTAACAAAAAGCAGATTGCATAAAATTGGTAGAGCAATTGTAAAAGAATATCTATAAGTTTCTTGTTCTCTCATGTTAAGTAATAATAAATTTAAATACTCTCGAATAATAAAATTCGTATTGTTAGGCTTAAGTTTTTTACGATAACGAAACCACATGATTCCTTTTCTGTTTGAAAATGGCGAAGTAGATGTCGAAATGACCGAAAGGGAAATAATTTCGCCAAAAGAAGTCCAGGCTCTGATATGATCGCCTTGCTAACATAAAAGACGTAATAAGGATCTCGTTTGCAGACACATTCTACCAGACTGAAAACCGCCCATAAAATGTGTCGTTTTTATCTTGACATAGGGGAAAAAATAAGAAAGAAATGTAAGACCGAAAGTCAAGGACATATAAACGGAAAATTGTCAGTCACTTTAAAAATCTGCTATATGAGTATGTAAACTACATAATAGGTATAAAATTGAACGAAAATTTTATAAATTCGTGAAGCACCTACCAAAATTGTTAAAAAGACTGAAACCTAAAAGATTGTTACTATTTTACAATCATCAGGACTTTTATGTGTAAAACAACTCATTGTGGTGATTTTCAGTTAAATTTATTTGTATAATTTCTTTTTTGACTTTTTCTTAGAAACGCAAAACTTTATCTCCTACTGAAATGTAAGAAGTGGGTTTTTATCTCCAGAAGACGAACGAAAAGAAAATCTTTATATCTGAGAATAAAGAAATATAAGACTTTAAGCCTTTCTATTGTATACGTACAAATACAAAAATCCTCTGCGTTTCTTTACAAATTACACACTTGTTATTTCAGTAAACAGTCAATTAATTGAATTTTTTAGGAGTAAATATGTATTAACCCCTTAATAAGTATTAAAGTGGAAAATCAGAGTAAAAGACTGGCACAACAACAACAACAACAATAACCAAAGATAATTATCAAATTATCTTTAGGTTGTTTTGTTGCTTTTCTGATGAAATTGTTTTTGATGTCTCACTAATTTACCCTTCAAGCAACCTTAATTGATAATTCAGTGAAAAGGTCAAATTCGTTCTAAACAGAACATAAATTATTTGAAAAGAGGACAGCTTATTAGATTAGTTACATGGTACTAAGAAATAGATAATTTCTTTCAGACATAACGGTAATGGATCTTCCTTGTTGTGCCAAGCTTAATACATTTATTTTCTCTAAGTCTGAAAGAAATTACCCATTTCTAGCATAGTAAAATCTAATGGGTTGGAATGATAAATTAAGACGGTCCTACTATTTCTATTTTACCAATCAATATAAGAAANTAATAATTAAAAATAAAGACAAATTGGCATCACTATAAGATTTTGCGATACTGGATCAATTCTGAGACCAGATTCTGGTTTAACGACAAGATATCTTAAAAATCACTATTTTTTTGTTATTTACGTTTTTAATCCCCGCTTTTGTTAACTTACAGGGTTGCTTATTTGCCTACTTACAGTAGATACTCATAAATCGTGGGTATATTATATTAAACCAATAACTGGATATATTTCACCCTTATTTACAATAGTTTAGTAACATTTAATAGAAGTTTAGAACAATTTCCATATGAATCGATCTTCAATGCGCTCCAAGAATGCCGATTATATTTCGCCACCGGTTGAGAACACGAACATGGGTTAAAAAAAACTTTTGATATGAATTATAATACGTGCAAGAAATACACTTACAAATAAATTGAAATTTATAGACGCAGTATAAAGACTCAATGGAAAAAAGATATTGGTCGTGAAACTGGTGTGGTGTTCTAGTGGAGTGAAGCAATTACATTTACAAGCAATGTCATTCCAGGTATTCCATTTGTGTCATAAACAGAAATTTATTACGTAATTGGGAGTGTTCGGTGAATTCATTTAGACACTTGGATGTCTATTACATAAATTATTGCTACGGTAGGCTTAAAACAGAGACACTTCGTGCAAACGGTAAATTACACAGGGAAATTTTCAACGACAATTTTTCTTCAGGAAATCCTTGACATTATCATCGCCTTCTCGGGACTTCGATTACTACCTCTTATATTGTACCTAATTCAAATATTTTAAATTTTCTTTCTCGATTTGTGTCGTCCACATTTTTAACTTGGTTTTTACATTATATAGCACAGAATCAAAAAATATCAGAATACTTGAAAGAAAATTGAAATTCCTTTAAAATGATGTGTCATTTGACACACCAGGTCATTAAGGATTCTTTAAAGAGTTCCCATAACCTTTACTAGAAGTAAGACCTTACATCCATGAATTTATAAATAATCAAAAGATGTCCCAATCGAAGACAGAACGGACTTGTTTCAGGGATTTCCGAAAAAGAAAAAATTGTCGTTGCTTTAAATACACCACCCTAGAAGTACATCTCATTCAATACTTTTTCATATTCCACACATTAAAATTGCACTCACGTGTAGTTTAATCTATGTACATATGTATGTTACAATAAGAAAAAGAATAATGTTAATGTATCCAAAAAAGTGCCTTAAGTGCACATCGAAAATAACTCGAAATTTTCAGAGAGTAAAAAGTGCTTTTTCTTATTTGCTTTTATACACTATTAACTTTATGATAGTCATAAAAGCTTACGAAGATTCTCACTTCATGATGCTCTTACTGCCTTTAACTGCAGTGACGCCAAAAAAGCAAACGTAGATAAAATTTAAATATTCTACTTTAAACTAACAATAAAACATTTTTGTATATGTAAAAATAATTTGAATTTCTTCCTCTTTTTCAAATCGAATCGCGATTTCCAGCTTATTAGGACTCATCAGTACGCCATAGGCAGTTTCAATATTTCCTGTGTAAAATTAAGTTGATATAAATCAACTTATGAGCCGTATAGCGCCATCTACTGACTGTACCAAATAATTTAGTAAGTTTTTCAACAAAAGACAATTTTTTAAAAGAAATTTCCTCATTCCAGACGAGGAGAGCTTCAACGGCTCTCCAATAATGGAGGTTGAGCTTCGAGAATCTCCTGATTCAGTGAAGTTGTTTTTGTCTAACAACACTCCTCCCAATGCAGCAGAAGGTAAGTACGTTTGTAGCAATAAAATTCACCCTTAAACTCTAATTATCCTAAGATGAAAGTATTCGACTAATTTTAAATTGAAAAGTTCGTTATCAATGATACTGTAAATAAACTGGAAAGCATTGGGTTATTTATGTTCTTTTTATGGACTTTAAGCTAAAGGATTATTGTTTTTCAGCTTTAACGAAGATAAAATTGACCACAACACAGTTTGCGGTCCAATATATACAAAAGATAGTTGCTAAAGAGTAAATCCTTATCTATTTATTACTGACCGCCCTCTAACTAATGAAATATATAGCGAAAAAGCTGCATTAAAAAAGCTTTCATGGAACACTGCATTGTCCATATGAGTTAGAGGAATAAGAAGTGCCATGAATAGACAAACTGAAAAATTAATATTAAAATATTTCTTCTGCTCTGTTTTTAAAGAAAGTACGTTCAGTTTTCCTGAATTTTATAACCATACATTAGTTTCAGTACGATTTGCGAAAGTAATTATTATTTCTTAATATAATTTCCTCAATTTCTGCCAAGCTAAAGGCCTTTGTATCCGTAAGCCACAACAATTTCCTGTCTCATAAAACTTAACGGCAATTTTACTGTTGAAAATAAACATAAATCAAATTTAACAGTCTTATCATTAGTCAAGCTGTGTCATTTTCAAACTATTGAATAATTTAAATGCTGCACAATTCTAGTATTATTTGCAAAACAAAAGTTTGAAAAAATATTTCGAAAAGTAGGTACCGTTAAAGCATGTGCTAAAGAAAATGTTTTTGTATTTGCTCTGCAGTTTATGATCTACTTTTTTATTGCCTTTGTGATTAAACGTAAAACAATAAATATGAACAAGACATTTTTGTTCTATTCTGGTCTATTCATGTTTATGTTTCCGACTCATTCGTGACTGTGTCCACGAAACAATTTCTACGTTTAAAACGGAAAAATAAAAATTTCATTTAGTCCAATTTTTAGTTAAGCAAAAATTGCTTAATTAAGCGTTTCTGTCTGTTGATAGCGTAATGGTTGTATCACGTTCAGCAAAATTACAATTGTAGCAAATTGAGTTCTTGCAGTTCAGGTATTTGTGTTATGAAGATCCACGAATTTTAATTAAACTGAATTGATGCAATTTACGTAGGTATGTGAGAACTGCGATTGAAATCGAAAACAAATATTTCACTTAATGTTTGGCAGTGAATGAAATATTTATTTACCAATTTTTCTGTTGTATTGTCGGCAGTGACAATGGAAAAGCCAAGAACTCATTATACATTAGTGAATTCTTTTTTTTAAATTGTTTGCTGATTAAAAGAAAAATAATAAATGTTGTTAAATAATGATAAGTTACATTCGTTCTAAATATTTTTAATAATCAATAACATACGCGGAAAAAAACATGAATATTTCACTAACTGATATTTTTACCTGTTTTGCACGATGTCACAATTGAAATAAGCATCGCAGAAACAGAAACTAGCGACCCAGAAATTAAAGGTAGCCGACAATGCCTCTGGGAGGTCGTTTCAGAAAATGGACATTCCACATTAGAGCTTGATTCTAGGATATCTAAACCGCGTTGTATCAAATAAAATGTTAAATGAATCGCGAAAACAAAGAATCCTTTTCTTTCATGGAGGGAAGAAACCGTTTCAAATTGAAAGAACAATTTCTGTTGTATGCAGTGACTTGAACGATAACTTAACTTGAAAATAAAATTCTTTCTGATTTAAATAAACAAGTAATGGATGCAAAACGACTTATTTATATCCATATAATTTAGTTTGCTTTCAGTTTTGTGAGAATTTGCTGTTAAAATTGTTGACAAAATACTAAATTCTTATAAATTTTCGCCTCTTTTTTGAGAAAATGTAATCTTTTCAAATACGTATTAAGTATTTAAACATTTTCACTTAGGGTCGGTCATTGAACCATTTGTTTTGAACAAATATTTTACCAAACGAGGCAAATTGTATGACAATGAGTAATTACTCTTAGAGAAGCCACCGGATCACTGACGAAGGAGCTATACACTCGCGAAATCAGAAGATAGAGTAATTGTAGAATAAAGTAACACTAGGCGACTGTCTTTTGTGGAACGTGACATATTTGGGTCACAATATTCTTGCTGCGATTTGGTAGGATGAGACTGTCGCTAAAACATAGAAGCTAGAGCCATTAGAACCTTCCATCAGAAACTCCGTGTCATAAATGTGGTACCCACTGAATAATCTTTCGATTTCAGAAAACAAATAGAAAATCAAATCAGAAAAGAATTCATGATTTTACAGCGAATACCTGCAAAAATATTTCTCCTTTTTTGGTAGCCATATAATTTATCGTCAGTTTTTGATCTTATTTGTGGTGGAGCATTTTTTAAAGTGAAACTTCTTTACGCACGGTAGGTTAAGTTCGTTTCATGCGAGTTGCTATGTAACGAAATCATGCAACGGATGTCCCCCCTCTACTCGGCCACGTACTCGAGTTCGTAGTGGCGATCGCTTGAACCGCGAGCTTCAATGCAACGTTCGTTACAGGCAACTCGGGCATGTATAGTCTAAAATTTAAATTCATAGTGTACAAATAATACCATTAAACCAATTCCTTAACCCCTATCCCGGTATGTTTGAAGAAGTTTCACTTCAGTAGCGTGTTGCATAATTACACGTTGTATCTTTAGATAAATTTAAACTTCTAAAATTTCGGTTTTGTGAATTATATTGTTTATTTTTTTACATCTACGCTTTTGCACGCATTAATTTTTTTGAACTCTACCCGTATTTTGTCGCTTTTATCCGAACATTGTAGCAGATTTTGCATAATTTGATTGGACACAATCATAATTAGCATAATTTCCTAAATCGATTACTGTTTAACTTTAATCAAAAGCGACTCTATATAGCAAACGAATCCAGATTTGGCGTATAGAAGAGTGACTATTCAGCAACATGATCTCCTTTGCTTTTAGCTATTCGACCGAACGGATTGCAAATGAACACTTCTAGGTAATTCTATTCACTTGCCATGGACTAGTTAATCAATTCATCTATCTATTCAAACTAAATTACAGAATTAATTTTATGCACAAAATCATATCTATTAACGTTTTACAAAACTGAATTTGGTTTTTTCTCCGAAACTCTACCATCATTGTGAATCTTGAAACTTTTATGTACCAAATTTTTGATAATAAAATTTAATTACTTAATAAGTTCTTTTACCAAAATATGTTATTGGATTCTGTGAGTCCCTGAGTTATAAAATAATAGCAAGAAAAGTAAAAAAAGCCCTTGCTTTTGAAGGATAAAATATAACAACCCTCAAAGTTATATAAAGCAGGTGTTTTAGCGCTCAAACCCTTGTACTAACTATTGCGCCAAAGACAGTTATGGAATATCTTGTACTGCACCCTGAGGTAAGATTTAGTACCTGTCCGCCAATTTCACTCAACTCATTCCTAAGGGTATATAATATATACAAGGGGAAATCCAACAGTAGCCGGTATCGTATTGCACATACTTGCTTTATCATATTACACCACTAGACAGCTGTTGTAAAACCCTTGCTCAGTAAAATAAGCCTTTCTATCGGGGTCAATCGACAATAACGAGTGTGGTTTTTACACGGCAAGAACGCAGCGGAAACTATTCAATCAATGTTTTTAGCATGCAGTCCAAGGCCAAGCCTCATGGGATTCTCAACCACCTCTACTATTGGTTCTGTCGATTTAAAACAAGAGAAATAGCCTTTGAAGATACTAATCTACTTTTTTGACATCAAAGCTATCAATACACTCCGAATTAAAAATAAAAATCTGACAGTAAACCAATAACTCTATACGAAAGAGGTACGTAGAGGGTTGAGTATGAAAATCTCTCACTTTGTGCTTCCTGCACCACGACGACGCTTCCAACGATGGTATAAATGTTTGGACAGGTGTAATTAGTGTTAATCGACAGTAATTAAACTATGAATAAGTATAAAGAGATTCCGTTTACTTTTGAGTCTCCCCTCGTATAGAAACATTTTGTCGTAGTGAACTCGGGGAAGCAAATTCAATTATGAACCATAAATTGTGTTACGACATGGAGGCGAATAATTGTACCGCATATTTCACATAAATTTCTCATAAAGAAAAAATATTGACAAAAATGTAGTGAAGAATGTAGAATGTTATCAACAGTTTACTTTCGATTAGTAAAAACCGGTGCATTAATAAGTTAAAACTGTTAAAAAAATAAAATAAAGTGGCAAACGCACATTGTAACGCAATAGTGCACCGATTTAAATGAAAATCCGGTGAAATGAATAAGTTGGTTTGTAGATACTTCCGTAATCTAGTGGATTGCATTCTGCAGCCAGCCCGAAAAAGAGCCATGAAAACGTCAATTTAAAAGCGTTCTCAAGTGGAATTTTATTAGATTCTCCCACCGCATCAATCGCAGAGATATCAAATTTCTTTTCTATTGTTATCGAGTTCTGGCTAAAAGCCAACCGTCTATTTAAAACGAGGTTTAATGAACATGCCTTTCTATTGTGTCCCTTTTCTATTTATTACTTTTTACCATTCTTAAAAAATATAAAAAATTTAAAAACAACATACCACTATTACAATATAATGGCCTAATTAATTCTGGACTAATTTTATGGAAGTTGTTTAGTTGCTATAAATTGAATCAATCCAGCCTTAAATAAGCTATTAAATTAGTCGTAAATTGACGGTATATTAGCTACCGCATCGACGGTAATATCTCATCAAAAACTAACGCAGTCACGTTTACTTTACAGTTTTGATGATGAAGTAAATTATTGTAGGGACCATTAAACGAGAGTTTGTTACTATTTCCAGGGTTACCTATGATTGAATGCAGTAAATGCAGTGTTCGGCGCCTCCACCAAATCTTTCACTATCAATTGTACACAATCAATTGGATGCCGTACATTTTTTTTTATAGAACACACACGTGCTACCAGCTACTTAATATTGCAATGCTTAATAAATAAACGATGCCAGAAAAAGATCATTCACGTTAATTGTATGATGAATGATCAGCAAGGTTCGTTCTGTGACTAAACAAATAAAAACGCATTATAAAATATACTACGAATTATTGCAAGCATTTTCTAATCAAGAAAAATAATCGTTAATAACGTGAAGTAATATTCCTTTAAGATTTTCTTCTTTTTAAGTTAATACCAAACAATTTCCTGTTCAGAATTTTCGAATAAAAACCACATTTTCTTGTTAATGGAGTCAGTTTTAGTAATTGTAACAGTTTTATTTATTTTACAGAAGGAGCCAAAATAATAGTGCGTGCTGAAGAAATACTTTTGGTAGTTTTGGTCCTTATAATTTGGGTCGCCGCAATCATTTTATTTTTTAATCGCTGGGGCAAGATAAGAATGCTGGAGCCGTACCAACCCAAATTCCAACAAAATCACCGATTATCTTGCCCCTTAGCACCACTGACATCACCAGTAATCTCAACACAGGTAGGTACTGATACTGATGATACTAGTGTATCAAAAATTGATTAATTACCTATAATATCCCTTCTAGTTTAAGTCTAAGTATTAATGACTAGATTTAGGTAATCCTAAAGGAAATACGTACGATTATAATATTGAAGATTAGTAGTCCTAAGTCCTTCCTTGAATATGGTGTTTCAACAATACCAAATAGTAAACAAGCAAAGACATTACAGAACCATTTACGGATATGTACAACGGTTTCAACTTTGTTTGTTTTGTTGAAAGAACACGAACAGGACTTGACCAATTTTAGAGACAGCACAAGAAGCATTTTATTGTAATGTACACAATTATTTCATGTATAAGCGAGGTTATGCAATACGTTTCGTTTGGTCGAATAGAAATTGTGACTTCTTCCAATCATAATAACTCTAGCAATACTGAACATTTTCAAAATTCCAGAAACTGTAATACCTCTGTTGTTGAATTAAATTTCTAATGCTCAACATAGTATCCTATTATCTATCACTATTCATTATATTCTAACTTCTTCATTATTTTTTGGCATATATTACCTATACGTTCTCGTTCATCTGATTATTATTTCCACAAGCCTTTCTATTAACGTACCAAATTACATTCTAATTACGAAAGCTGCACAAAACGATCGAATGAAAACTAATTGGAGTGGGAACGAGATTGTTTTCTATCTATTGCAATCTCGTGTTTTAGTCTCAAGGGAAGATTGACCGAAATAATGAAAACGGACGAAATGTGTCGCACCTAATCTATATAAAATAAATCAATCTTTTAGGAAAGGCTTTATTTCTCGTATTCTCTGACTAGGTTAGGAGACTTGGAAAATACGCTTTGTCACAACAAGACAAATGATGATACAAATACTACGTATTTTATCTACCTATCCTTTTGGAGTTTCATCGTAATAAACAGAAAAAGTCTTTTCTAATTCCCATCCTCAATATTACAGCCTCAAAATTTCAATACCCTATATTTATTTTTTATTTATTTTTTTTACTTTTTATTTATTTATTTTTTTTATTTATTTGTGACCAATAAGTATATGGCACACAATTTCGTGTCATATACCCTGCAGAGATGAAAATTCATCTGTGCGCAGGATTCATCTGTTTATATTTTAAATTATTCTAATTACCTAACGGCGTTAATTAGTAGACAGTTTTGAATTAACTGTATATGTATTAGATCTTTGTGATTGACCGTAGTAAAAATTCATTCCAAACTATTGAAAGGACTAAGTATGCTTACATAGGTACTTATATATACTTTAAAAAACTGGTGAGCTAAATAGATTTCTGATTTTGTCCAAGCAGTAACACACTAAGTAATCATTATGATTGAAATTTTGTTTCAACTTGTATCTATTAAAACTGAGATTCACACTTTGGTAAAGACACTGAGGACGATTCCTAAGTCAAATAACTCATTGATTACTAATTATACCTATCTCACATAAAATGATGCCAAAGCTATCGAGAAACAATCCTAACTTTGTCACTTCGATGTAAATCATGGAACAAATGTGATGTTTGATATAAAAATCGCCTGTTTATTCTATCATCTTCTTTTACTTTTTTACAATTACCTATCTTACTTAGGCGAGAAAAACCTGGCCGATTTTTGACACCTCTTTCAATTATCGTAGCAATTTTTCTTTTCAGCAAAGAATGTCGTTTTCCAAATACAACGTCAGCTGTTTCAACGACAACATATACTCAACGGTGGCATCGCCCAACCCGGCCAGAAGACCGCGTCAGAATTCAGTATTCGTGTCGAGTCCGACTCTGGCGTTCTTGAATCCCCCGAGACGGGCCAAATCCGCGATGGACATTCAGCATTTAGTCCTAAACGAAAAACCCCAAGCTCTGACCACTTACAGTTCCATGCTTCCCATGTTGTCCACATCGTTGCCCATAAACAAGGAACGTAAACCATCAATTACAGTGGACAGGATAAATGTCTCGGGAACTCGTTGCCGACCCCTGTACACTTCAGCCGAACGACCCTTGCTATCGCGATATTACTACACGAAAAATCGAAGAATGTCTTGTTTTACGGAAAAACTTCCTAGACAAAGGTAAGCAATATTTAAGAAAATAAATCGGCAGGTAATTACATCATTAAATTGCTTTACGTCAAGTTAGACTTTAAGTAAACAGAAACCAATACAATTAGGTACTGCTGGATTTACTAATCATCATCACCATTAGGTCGTCAGTCGTAAGGCTGGTTGGACACGTACCTCCACTCTTTCCTATCTTGAGCTAAACTTCGCATTTCCCTAAAACTAGAACAACCCACATCCTTAACTATTTGCGAACAATAATCTAATCTAGGTCTACCTCTACTCCTCTTAACTCCTGCGTCTGCCTCTAATATGTCTCTGACTAGACCTTCTTGCCTGAGAAAGTGCCCTACACCAACCTATCTCGTCTATTTTTTATTGACTTCCATAGAGTCCTATGTTCTCCTATTCTTTCTAATACCTCTTCATTTCTAACCTTCTCTATCCACGGTATCCTTATCATCCGCCTATAACACCACATTTCGAACGCTTCTAACCTTTTCTTTTCCGCCGCGCCCACTGTCCATGTTTTGCTCCCGTACAACGCCGTGCTCCAAACATATACCTTTAACAACCTTTTCCGAATTTCTAAATTAACCGTTCGCGAGCATAGAAGTGACTTCTTTTTATTAAAGGCGACACGACCCTGCGCTATCCTCTGCTTTATATCCCTACTACTCCTTCCATCCTCACTTATCTGACTTCCTAGGTATCTAAAACCAGCCACTTCTTCTAATTTTTCGTCTCCTACCTTTATATTCGCTATTTCCCTACTTTTTCTTCCCTTGCATACCGGTATTTTAGTTTTACTTTTATTTATTTTCATACAGTACTAATCTGTCAGGACCGCCTCCATTTTATTTAAAGCTATCTCTAGGTCCTCCTTGCTAGATACTAATACTGCTATATCACCTGCAAATTTAAGCATACTAATCTTTTGCCCTTGCACGTCTATCCCTACAGTTGTACTGTCTTTAATGATGTTGATGGCGTCTTCGATGTATAGATTAAAAAGTAGCGGTGACAGTGTGCATCCTTGTCTGACTCCCTTCCTAATATTTACTTCTCTACGTTGCATCCCTAGCTCTATAATTGCCTGTTGCTCTTTATACAAACTAAGTATCACTCTAATAACAAATATAATTTATTTTAATGTAAAATTAACTTTTTTTGTTTATAAGTTTTTCTTTGGTCTAGACCTCTAAGCTTTCACCTTGATTACCACTCTTAAAACATTCAGTATTTGTCTGAACGTCATATGTCAACACAAATAAATATCTAAGGTAGCACCTAACGTTGTTTAGAAGCTTTTAGCTAACACATTTCATGTGAATACATTCAATGTGAATTATTTGTGTAGTTTTGATCTATTTCTTTACTTAATACTCGATGCTTTGTCAAATGGACAATGGATTAGATGGTAGATGTTTTCGCGTTCGGAAAATTCAAATGTAAACTTTATATTCAAGGAAATGATAGAGTTTCAGTAAAACCGAGAAGAACTAGAGCGATCAAAACGCGATTAGTCACGTAAAAATATTCGGCACGTAGAACACGAAATCCAACTGTACTACAGTAGTAATTGGATCGAATCCATATGGAATCGCATAATCTCCCATGCTGAATTGTGTACCATCATGATTCTACCCCTTACAGTTGAATATGACTTGTAATTTTCGAAAGAATTAAATCTAAACAAAAGTGGCATTTAAACGTTTTTTAGATTATTGAAAGCTTATATGAAATTTTTAATGTCACTTGCAGTAATAATTCACCTCGCAGTGGCTTAGGTGAAGGAAGTTTGTTGTGATTCCAATAATATCATTTTGTAACTTTAACATTGTATTTGTTTTATGCAAACTGATAGACGTAGTTCTGTTTACTGGATGACCTACTTAATGACATTCATAATTAAAAAAGGTATAAGTTTTGAAGGGTAGGTACTCAGCTCAATTATTCACTATTGACATAAACAATCGTCCTTCGCACGTGTGTGCTTCTCATTTGAATTTCATGAATATGGATAGGTGTGTAGTAAAAGTAGAGCACATAGAATATTACTGTTAAAATATCATGAAAACTTTCAAAAATGAAAATGCGATAAGTAAAATAAACTCTAAAAACTTTCTAAAACATATGAAGTGTTAGTTTGGAGTTCTGACATGGGTTCGAAACGGATGAAAAAGGATATGGTATCAGGCACAAAAGAATCAACAAAGAGTCAGGTTAAAAACCCTAAATAGTTTATGGTCCAATTCACAATTTATATCTATCTAGAAATAAATACACAATGTGATAAAATACCTTCTAAGGCATGAAGGTCTAGTCAGAGACATATTAGAGGCAGAAACAGGAGTTGACAGGAGTAGAGGTGGATTTTCTGAATAAAAGTTACCTTATGTCCTTTACTGTATTCCTGACAATGTGTGTACAAAATGTTATAATGATCGATTGAGTAGTTAAAACGTGAAATGGTAATGAACAAACTCACTTTCGCATTTATAATATTAGTATAACATAAATACATATTTATTTTTAATTCACTTCTAAGTTTATACTTTCGTAATTGTCGGGGAGGGTTCTGATAAGTTTACGCATATTAGAGAATATTACAAATTAACTACAATAACGTATCTTTGATATGTATCCATCAAGATGACTTGAATTTTATTGCATGTTATAAACTGTACATCTAGCAGAGAATTTTATAACTTTTATTAACGTTCACTCGACTGTTAATGATAAATTGACTTGCACAATTTGAGGATAAACACATTGTACATACAAAGACCATAATGAATACCTTGGTGCCTTTTGTAAACAATTTTCTGTGAAATCTTCTCGAAAAATTTTATACGTAAACTTACATGCACTCATAAACATGAAACTGAGCTTCACAAACACAACAGAAACTTTTTATGAATAAAATACAATTTTATGATTCACATAAACCCTGCAGACAAGAGAAGTTACTTTCTCCATTTTTTTTATCCACGACATTACCTTGCGTAGTAAGATAAAAAAAAAACGTCGTCTAAATCCATTTAATCCTATATGCAGTAAGACACGGGCTATATAAGAAGTGTTATTTGTAACCATCAGCGTTAATTTCAAGATAAAGGAAAGAAGGGTATCATTGTAGTCACAGACGTGAACGAACCTAAATCTATTGTATATTTTACATACATGTATATGCCGCATTCAGAAACAGAAGGTAGAAATATATCACTGTTGGTACCTCAATTACAGGCATCAGTTTATTTAAGTAGCTGCTGATAGAACGCACTTCCTAACACGACATTGATATAGGGAAAGGAGAATTAAGGAAAATACATCAATTTGTAGTTAACGCCGCGTCTTCTAATTTGTTAAGGAACCTCGAGAATTTGCTGAATTGTAGACATTTCCTTTAAAATGTTTTCTCACGTACAAGACGTAACAGCATTGTGCTAATTACTTGATGAAAATTATTATTACCTAATTGTTGAAATTTCTGAATTATAAGAAGGGTTGTCGTCCAATTCAGTCGTATAGAACATTTTTGGAATAGTTTTCGTCACAAACTAAAATACATTAATAATATAAGTAAACATCTATGTAAACATGTGATAGGTTCTAGAAATATCTTATCACTTAGTTAATTAATTAATAAATAGCTATTATTTCCTGTTATTGTCAAAAGCGCTACCTACAGAAAGTTGATGTATTGGAAAAAGTTTTGTATTGAAGTCCGTTGCCGCTTTACTAAACTAAACAATCCAATTTAATATTTATTATTAAGCAGTAAGTACTTAGTTCAAATTATTATCGACTTTATTCCCAACTAGGTCGAATCCGCATTTAATTTTATGGGTTATTACTTTATTTATAAATAAACTATAAGTCTACCGTAACAAGGTGGTTTTTCTGCCAACTGCCCTTGTTAAATATGCACGATTTTAGATGCACCCGAGTATTTTATTTATCTATCAGGGTTCAAGAAGGATAATTTGATCAAGACCACAAATCAAGTAACGCTTCAAACACTCCTATTTACGACATAATTTCGAAGAGTTTTACTATTTCTGTATTTTTCGTCATTTTAAAGTCCTTGTCAATAGTAAAACGAAAGCGAAGATCAATGCCCAGTGAAGGTGTTGTTTTATTGAGAACACGACAATATTCTTTTCAGTCTCTTTGTTAACCCCCCACCTCATGCTAAACTGTTTCAGTTTTATTAAAACTTTAAATGATCACGTCAGGGTCACATGGAATTAGTAAGGAGTTCATAAAAGGATAAAGTAGAGGATCATGTATGTCTACAACACGATTGACAGGCCAGCGCCGGACTGGGGTAAATTAGTCAGTACTAAAAAGTACGGGAAAATCGATGAACAGTGAAGTTGTTTTATTGACGTTATGAAAATTCGACAACATTTTTTTAAAAATTTATCTTTGTGTAAACTTCACATCTCTTGTTGAATAGTGTCAGGGTCACATGGAATTAGAAAGCAGTTTATAAAAGTATTACAATAAAATACGTAATAAATAATTGGGACCGGATTGGGATAAATTAGGGGATCCATGTACGCTTACAATACGGTTGAAAGGTCAGGACCGGACTAGGATAAATTAGGTGTTCCATGTAGGTATTCAATAAGGCGGTCATGTCAAGATGGATCAGGATAAGTAAATAATCTCCTAACAGGGATCCGATAAGCTAACTAATACGAATAAGCAAGGATTTACGTAATAGGGAACACCTTGCATTACCTGACAGGAGCCAACATGACTAGCTTAATACGGCTATCCTAATAGAGCCTGATCCTGTCCAGATATTTGTTAGGGTTCCTCCTATAATGTGAGTTTCTTTGTTTGCTATACTTCATTTACTTTCTCTAGCAATGTGTCCTTTGCAATGTCTTGGATGCGCGCTGGCAAAATCGTAGGTAGGGAGAAAAAAGCTCATTATACTCTCGACTCTTGTTCATTAAACATACTTTTTTATACAGTACCTGCCAAAAGTTTTGTTCAATCATGAATAGTAGTGCGAGTCGAAAATAAGCATTAAAGCCTTTAATATGTCTTCAAATATAAACAAACATCTCGCTGATATTTTCAGTAGTAAATGGTATCAATAACAGCACATTTGAGCAATGCAATTGTAGTGGATGAAATGAAATTTTTCCGTGCAGTAGTGTACAGATTGTACACTCCTCACCGGTTAAGAGTTGTCTCCTTTCTTTTCTGGCCTAGTGCTGTTCTTTTCTACTTTGCGCCGGTCAAACTGATGGTCACATCGCTACAGAAAGTAAACGAAGTATACCTTTCGATCATCATAAAATTTTGTACATACCTTGTCAAGGGTACAGAAAATGGCACAGGATACTTTTTATCCAGGAACAAAGTACTGTTCCCGAGAAATAGAAAAATTAGTTTCATGTCTCCGATAAACTTAATTTTATATTAAAACAATTTTTCGAATTTGTGTTAGAAAAATCAGTTTTACCGTTGGGAGTAGACTTTCATTTGTCTATTGTGTAGTATCCTTTTGACGTGTGTTGCATTCGATTATTATTCGCGTTCGGGAAAATTTATACCCCTTGGGGTGCCCTTAACGCAAGGCCACGTACCACATACATTATACTATCGGGATGGGGTTGCGCCATCGCGATGTCACAAAGCAGTAGAAACTTGCGAATATAAATGAATCATCCATCTGGTGCTACTCCTTTTCGAGAATTACTCTGGATGCAAATAATGACGAAGGATCGCTACACCGTTGTACGTAGTTATCCGCAGGTTCTCGGGATATAAACGAAACCCATCAGTGAAAAATTGCAGTTAGTATGATTTACTTTTAAAGTTTGGGACTTTTCGAACTGCGACGAACGATTCGGTTTTATTAATTTAACTTGTTCATTGGCGCGTTTAAACAAGAACCACAAAAACTTTTTTAGTCATGAAGGGCTAGTCAGAGACATGTTAGAAGCAGAAACAGGAGTTAAGAGGAGTAGAGGTAGATACAGATTAACTACAGGAAACGAAAGTAAAGTGTCAAAAATATATATTAAATGTTCACAACAATTGTTTCACTATAACAGTGGCTTCTTCAGGTGAAGATATTCTGATTAAAATTGTTACAAAATTAGCATAACTACTAAAAGTTTACAAATATGGAGTGGGAACAACGAAAGGGAGGTATAAGGTAAGACAAATTTAAATTTAATAATGGAGAACTATTTACAACAATTAGTAAAATATTTAATTTTTGTATTTATTAATATAAAGACTTTCAGCTAGGTTTAATTTATGGTTTTTTGGTAATACTTTTAAAATTTGAAAATTATCATTAAAAGTGCGTTTTTCCTTTAATAAATGTTCTGCATATGTACAATCAGCTTTCTCATTAGTAAAGCTCCTCCTGTGTTCTGTAATCCTCTGATTGAAAGATCTCCCAGTTTGTCTCACATAGACTTGACTACAGTCCTCACATTCCAACAAAAAAAAATTGATTCTTTATCAGTTTACATTACTTTACATTCGTTTCCTTTAATTGATTACGAAGTTTCAACAAGTAAAGCCTTCTACTATTTATTAGATTTAGATTAGATTACTGTTCACGAATAGTTTAGGATGTCGGATGTTCTAATTTTAGGGAAATGTCAAGATTAGCTCAGGATAGGAAAGAGTGAAAGAGGTGCGTGTCCAACCAGTCATAGGTCTGACGGCCTTATGATGGTAATGTAATAAAAACATTGCCACATTTTTGGAGTTTTTACAGATTTATTTGTGTGTGACAACTCTGTTTCAGCAAATAAATATGCGAAAATTTCCAATCCTGTATTATTGGGCATCACGAATTCTGATCGAGTATATGTACATATAAAGGTCGAAACTGTTCAATAGCAAATGCTTCCTTAACAACCATCAGAAATGCAAAAGAATTGGCATTGCATAATACACTTTCTTCACAAAATTACTTTGAGAATGAGCCGATAGTTCAATTCGTTAAAATTCTACAAGTTATCGATTTAGTTATGATGTCAATAACATAGTAAGTAATATGCCGACGAGCGTTCTACAATAGAACAAAATAATGGACGAAACTTTTTAAATTTTTAATGTCATTCTGGGACATTTCGTGCACAGTTGATGATAGAACGAATTGGAAATTGCGTTTAACCGTCTGCGAGAGTTAAGTAGAAGTTCATTATAAATGCGACGCGCACAATCAATTTCAGTCGAAAAATTTATTCCAAAATTTAACTTTTATACAACGGCATAAATGACGAAAAAACGACTGGAATTCAAATTCGTTATACGCAAGCTATGAACTAATTAAGCAAATCATAAATTTTGAAAGTATTATTCATCAACTAAATACCTAAAGTAGGTATCTATATACCGTTTATAACGACATCTAGTATAACAAAAAGTGGTTATAGTAAAGGTCCCGGACAATGGTATCGGATATTACGACGAAACTAGTATAACGAATTCTAATAAAAAAACATCTCTATACTGGTATGCAAGGGAAGAAAAAGTAGGGAAAGAGTGAATAATAAGATAGGAGACGAAAAATTAGAAGAAGTGGCTGATTTTAGGTATCCAGGAAGTCAGATAAGTCAGGACGGAAGGACTAGTAGGGATATAAAGCAGAAGATAGTGCAGGGTCGAGTCGCCTTCAATAAAAAAAGTCACTTCTATGCTCGCGAATGATTAATTTACAAATTCGAAAAAGGTTATTAAAAGTGTATATACGACGCTGTACGGGTGCGAAACATGGGCAGTAGATACGGCGGAAAAGAAAATGTTAGAAGTGTTCAACACGTGGTATTACAGGCAAAAATGATGAGAATACCGTGGATAGAGAAGGTTAGAAATGAGAAGGAGTAGGAGAACAGATGACTCTATGGAAGTCAATAAGAAATAGGCAAGATGGGTTAGTAGGACACCTTCTCAGGCATGAAGGTCTAGTCAGAGACAGATTAGAAGCAAAAACAGGAGATAAGAGGAGTAGAGGTAGACCTGGATTAGATTACTGTTCACAAATAGTTAAGGATGTGGGATGTTCTAGTTTTATGAAAATTTGAAGATTAGCTCAGGATAACAAAGAGTGGAGGTGCATGTTTAACCAGTCTTAAGACTGACGACCTTATGATGATGATTTTGTATTGCAGGCATTTCATGAGTTTCGACCATCCGCAAAGTACAGATCGCAAGACATCGATAACGATTGAAAAACCGTCGATAAGTTTCGAGTCGCCTCAAGAATCGTTCGAAAATCCGAGCGTAATCGTCGAGTCGGTCTGCGTAAGTTCCAACAGATCGTTAGCATCGATTAAAGAGACGACGGCCTCGAGTCCTGCAAGAGAAACAGCAACAACTCCTTTCACTTGCAAAGCATTTTCAAGAAGTCTAGACACGCACTCGACGTCCGAGAAGCACAAACCCAAGAGGATGGCAGTCAGCCTTGACGTACATACTGCAGAAAGTGACTGCCAAGAAATGAAAACTTTTAGCGAACAAGGTGGCAAGTCGCATATGATTACGATGGACTCGGACGAAATCAAATTGACAGCACCGTTTTTTGAAAACTTGGAAAGCTCCGACGTATGATTTTACACGGTATTCGACAAAGTCAAAGTTACAATATTGGTGCCTCAAGTTAAAATAGTGATAAACAATATGGTTACATTTTGTCAAGGCTCATTATTTATTTAGTTAAAAAATAGTCTCAATATCGTCAAGTACGGCAAAGTAACCAGCATTTAAAAATATCTTATGTTTATTTATTTATTATTAACTAATTTCTTTTTATTTTTACCAGTTTACATCTGCCAGGTGTCCTTCAACAGTATGCCCTTTATTTTTATAAGGTAACAGTTCTTCATATAACAAGCGAAACTAAGCATTAAATGAAACATTTTAAAGGATTTAATGTTGCTAATTGTTTAATAAAGTTGTAAATCTATTCCCACTTTGCAAATGATTAAGACAGTTTCAAATATTTGAGACCATAATAGAATACTGCAATTTAATTTTAGGGATTGAAGCCAAACCGCGATGAGGTTTATTAGTTAGGCCGATGCTTTCAAAAAATGTAACGGTAGGTAAGTATATTTCTTAAAAGATGCATTAACTAAATTAGATTTGGTGAATCTTCATCTAATTATTATTTTATATAGGCAAAAATAATAGAAGTTGTGATGAAATCACCACCAGAGTTTCGTCAGTTTTGCGAAACTACTTCTTCTAAATTAAACTCTGCAAATAATTAATTCAAATTGTCATCGCCATGACAGCAACCCTTTCAGCATCTAGTCCTTCGTTTAATTAAATAGTAAACCATTAGCTGGAGCTCAAATATTTTCATTAATCTGTGTTCGAAACTATTCGCTCATAAAGAGTTTGTTTTGTAATTTTTGCAGTTTGTTAAAAAAAAAAGAAATTTCATTACGTACCAAGCGTTGCAAGATACAACAGAACGTTTGTATAGAAGATATAGCTTATAGGTTTATTTTTATTTGAACGTAAATAGAGAACTTTTAAGTCAAAATCTTTTAAGTTTACTACTACAAAGGACTATTTTGAATTTTAAATTACGGTCTTACATCCCCAGTGGCTTGAGCAGTTTGGAGAAAATAGGTCAATGGACCAAAATAAAGAAAAAAGTGACATATTCAAATCCGCTAAAAGCACAATTAAGTCAACAGAGTAGCTCTTAATTACATCACATTAAAATCTTTCTTTCCACAAAATTGCACTGCATTCTAAAACAGTAAAAAAAACAATTTTAAATAAATCTAGTTTCAGTTTAATTTCTTTTACAAACATTTTTGTTTTGCTTTTTGTAAAGAAGTAAAGTGAATGTTCGTTACAGCAAAACTTGACTAATTATTTATTGATGTTAATTAATTAAAAATTCTCTGCATGGTTAAATCTTTCTCTCGACAAA